GCGAAAGTCAGTCACCCAGTTTAATCAACTTTTTCGATCGGATGCCGTCTAGTCTCCCCTACTAATCAAATTAGCGTGACAATAAGTGAAATTTGTCTATCGCGTACAATCTGCGCTGACGTAGAACACAGGGCTGGTGGAAACCTGAGAAGCCACCAAACTGATGAAACACAGGAATAACGAAACCGGTCATGTTCTGGTGAGGGGTCATCACCTTGCATAACGTTACCATAGGACAATATACAGTGACTTCTAGAATATATATAAAACATAACCTAACTTTTTTGCAATACATCTGGTTTAAGCATACCAAAAGCTAGAGATTCAGCCGGAATTCAGTTGAGTTACCCTTTATGATACAGCTAGTTTGCAGATGAGGACATTTCGAAAACTTGTTCTACTGATAACTTTCTTTCAGTGCTACTCAGAGCACTTCTTTTCCGACAGAATAAATTCCGTTTTTGCACCATATTCACAACCACATTTGTTCCATATCGCTTCAAACAAAACTTGCCGTTTCGGGACCGATTGGACCAAACGATAGAGTCTTTGAGAAGTTCACTCACCACCACCAAAAAAATTCGCCACGCGGTGATACACAGAGTCTGTGGTGACGCTTTATAATATCCGTAGTATAAGAACACACACTTATGTGGGCCACTATCACCTCTTGTGTGCATCGCTAACAAAGAGGAAAATTTGAAACAGTTAGGTCTGGAATCCAACTTTTTACAACTGGACCAACTAGACCATGACCCTGCTGCACGTATTTTGTACTCTCGGAAGCAAATCGTCCGAAAATGAGAGATCTGCCTCGTACTGACCTGCATTCAAGATAGTGGTTCTTATGCTACAATAGATAACAGCATATTTCAGCATACAAGATGAGTATACACGTTATGAATGCAATATAGCCTACAGCATGATCAAAATTCGTCCTTGTGAGTACAGGCACAATTTCCCAATCACGTGTCCCCTAACACAAGATACGCAAGCCTACTCAGGTTTTCATCAAAACCCATAAAAAATAATAGGAAAAACGCCGTACTTTGTGTTTTCGTGATCTATGAGAATCTGAAGAGAAAAGTTTTTACCAAAACTCCGCGGGTCGTGGCTTTTTAGCATAAAGTGATCTCATTTACAGACAAAGATAAGAATAAATAATCGTTCGCCTGTAAAACCACTTCGCTGTCTAACCACCATGCCACCCGAAGGAAGAACGAGGACCGGGATACTGCCAGGTTGTCCAAGCCTAGACAGAAGTAGTCCAGAGGTAGAGGTCGGGTTTAAACCACGAACCTTCCAGTCAGTAAAATAGCGCTCTAACCACTCACAGAACGAAATCTCTATCGAAAATTGCCGAACGTTCTCACACTATCGTTAGTTGCGTATTCCTTCACTGTTTCACCAAAAAGCACTCAAGAGTTTCGGAACACATTTGAGGAGTAAATCGATAAAGACAGAAATTTAAATGGTTCCCAAAAGGTAGAAATTAGTACGTACTGCAGCTGACTGTGAGGTAAACGAACTACGTTGAGCATTCCCTTTAAATATATCCAAAAAGCTTCCATATCTCAAAATGATTAGTATAAACACATTATTTAAATTTTACCCTATTCAGCCTTATGTGATACGCACAGCAACTGGAGTCCAAAATAATCACACTCCATTTGAATCAGTAATTTGTGGGAAAGTTCAAATAAGTTGCGGAGTGTTAGTAGGTCAATTAGCGTACTTGGTTGTAGGTTCGTTCGCTAAGCTGGGCAGTTGTTTTCCAAATGTTTGATTAACAATCGGGGTGACATCGATGTTGGGAAGCGTAGTGGAGCGTAGTGATGCTGGACGAGCTCTGGAGCAGACAGCACGCAAGCACCGATCATCGTACGAGAGCCGGGTGGAACAAGCTCAAAGGTTATGGAACAATCGGAACACAGGATAACAATCGATGGACACGCCTTGCCGAGTGATCGATCGCAATCGATCGTCAACCTTGGCCAGCAACACAAACAGTACTCAACGCTACGCCGTACTACGCTCGCTGACCAGACTCGGTTGATGTCACTTCGCTTGGTGACGAAAATTTCGCAATCAAACTGGCCAGCTCAGCAAACAAACCATGGGCCATTTCGTCTTGCATCGTTTTATCGAGGAAGAAAAAGAAAAAGAAAGCAACCTTAAAACGTTATGTTATTGATTTTTGATGTCCTGATCTCACCATGGATTCCCAACTTCTCTTACCTGCTCTGAGAATGTATTCATCATTTCGGAGATTCCCGGGCGTCAGAGACTCACTAAGTCACGCAAATGTATCTAGTTATGAATTCCGGACCAAACGGCTCGGGTCTTGTCTCAGAGGAAGTTTCACTCATCGGGTGAAGTCCATTCGTTTATCCGTTTATTCGTTGCTCGAGGAGCCAGCCAACACGTGTGACCGCGTGATGTGGATCCCGTGATTGAAGGATGAGCGGCGCTATATCCTGTCTAAGTGCGAGCTAGTCACACTGCTGATCAGCCGCTCATGGCCCAATGGTTAGGTGTTCAAACTACTAGCCAGGAGGTCGCGGGTTCGAGACTCTCCGGAGTTTCGTGAGATGCGCACTGCTGATGATTCCCAATAAGGATGAAACAGCTGTACAGTGTTTCCCGGCTTTTCAGCATAGTTTGGCTCTACTTACAAGACGAAATCTCCACAAAAATCCCAAATCTCCTCACACTACCAACAGTCTCTAAACGTATTTATTTGTGGCCTACGAGTATTGTAAACAGAGTTATTCTTCATATATTCAGCGTCCAGTGTATGATGATAACTGGACTGCCATCTCTCCTTCGTTGTTGGACCGACAATAGAACCGGAGGTAAACACTGGTTCGCGTCAACAGTTTCGGTTCCACAACGTCTTTAACGATTCACCTTGATAAGGGGTAGACGGCCGTACCGACACTGGATTAGATGCAGTCATGACAACCGGTACCATACAGCTAAGTGACCTAATTTTTAGAAGCACATCTAGTGTTGTTCTAAGAAAACGGATTGAAATTAGGCAAGCCATTGTAAATAATAGATAGTACGGCGGACAGCTGCTGTGCATCTCCTCCGACCTCTATTGCCAAACTTGAAAACATAATCATAGAAACATGCTAGTTGAAAGACGCTGGAAACACAACAGTGTTTCCAAGGAAGTTTATTAGGGATTTGTAAAATAAGTGAATTTTTAACCTTATTTTGTACAGATATCCCACTATCGGTATTGATTGTTTTACATGGAAGCCTATTCCGGAAATGTGAAATAATTCACCAAATGAAAGGCAATCTAGTAAAACGCTCGTGTATAATTTGTCTGCGTGATGTAGCTGCTAGTGGACATGTCGTGGAAAGGATTATGATGTTAGACGCCATAAATGTATAAATCATGATGTGAAATAAAAAAACCTTTGAGTGTAGTTTGAAAAAGGATGAACGTGACAAACTTAGTTTGAAAACGCAAAAGCGGCTGTATGAAGAAAAACGTGATGCCATATGATCCTGTTACGAAGTGCGGTGACAGCAAGGAAGAAATTCTAAGGAAACTTTCGACCTTTTTCCCTAGTCCGAAAGTCTAAATCACAACGATGCTATACGTTTGGACTCTATTACGAAACAAGATTCCTTCTAATAACATCCAGGATAAACCCCAGGGATTCATGTAGATATGAGAACATTCGTTCGTCTGCAACTGGCACAGAAGAGCTTTGCAGAATACTGCTGCTTGAGGAAGCGAATGTCACTCATCAGACTCGTGGAGAATACTTCAGTATGCAAAGACCTAATGAAATGGTCTGGAACGATCAAACAGGTGTGCAGGATGCCGTGGAAGAATTAATTCAAGCTACCTCGATCCTAATCTTAGTTCTCCAATGTCGGCGGGTCGATAACCATGAAATTAGGGAACATAAGATTGACGGAAACTCGAGGACTGCGCCTACCTGATGAGGCCCAAGAAGGGCGAAACCGGTCGCGGGATGTCGACGAATTTTCAGCAAACTTATGAGTAGTACATTACAAAAAACTTAACTTGTTTTGATCAGTTAGCGGGTAAGTTTAGATCACGAGCTAGCATGCCAGTTATCAGAAAACGAAACAGTAAGAAAGGCTTAGTAATGGCCGCTTGGTACTTTGTTGCTCGTAGAAGGCTGTGGTCTGGAAATAGAATTTCGGCAACCTGAAACATCTGTAGCCAACTGCAGCGAGGAACTTCGGCCTATACTGCACAAGCATCGCAGCTAGTTGGGTGAACCAGACGTAGTAGGACCCAGTTGAGAACTCACCTTTATCAGATATCAGTCAGAGATTATCGCATTCTACTCAGGAATGTCCTTTTAAAATGTTACAAACGCACAACTGTGCAGTTCAGAAGTTGCATTGTGAGGAATTTCTAGATGCCCGGTAAATTCTTAGCCAACCTTTGGCTTATTCCTGCTTTCGCAATACACACACACTGATTTAACAGGCTGGCTACTGCTTCATAGAAGGTGTTATCGAATTTTTTGATATATTGGGAGTGGACAGTTACCATTTTTGAGGATTGATTTTTTTACTGCATGTGCGAAACCTACTGTAAACTGTTTTGTGTATTTTGCCTATCCATCTGCATGAGACCTCGCACTAACACACCGAGTATTCCGGAAGATTAAGGCTAAGACTGTACTACAAGCGGGCCTCTGGTCATCGCTCTACAGACATAACTAAGTAATGTTTGACAATTATGGGCCAAAAATGTGCGCGTGTTGAGTGTAGAATTACACACTTCTGTTCCCCCTCCGGTCATAATCTTCACGGTTCACAACGGGCACAGCTCTTTTCCGTGTGACAGGGGACGGATAACTGCTCATTAGTGTGTATCAACAGTCGAATTGGCTACATGTTTACGCTCACGAACAAATACACGCGTGATGAGGTTTTCATGGCAGGTTCATAGAAAGGAATGTTCAAAATCAGTATCAGGTGGCTGTCTATTGACTCACTCTACACCTCTCCTTACCAAGTAGTTTTTGGATACAGACTTCATTTGGGTGTTCCACGGATACTCCCAGTCGACTCCACAGCTTTTCTGGAGAATTTGAGAAAAGATTGCGAAATTCAGCTATCTCCAACAAAAAAATAGCGAGGAAAAAAAATTAGATAACTGGTGAAACATTCCGACCAAATGCTACGTTCGTACAACCAAATTTCGATTAGAGAAATTGACTTACCGTGGCACATTGATAGATATCATCATTCAAATTCCCACTTTTGAGCCTGAAAAAGTTGTTGAGAAGCTTCTGAGCCAAACCAGTGAAATCAAAGTTTCTGATACGTAAGATACCAAGTAAGGATCTCGAACCCGTAAATACGACATTCTGTCGAATAGCTGTGCCCCTTGTGACATTGGTCGGATACCTCAAGTGTGCAGGCATCTTTCTTCAAAGCGATTAACTTTCGCAACTGTGAATAAGAACGATGTTGTGGCCTGTTTGAGTATACGAACCGTTCATGCGAATCTAGTTTCTTCCCCTCCCACTTAGTCCTCGGGAGTTGCTCGGAAGTTGCACTCGGCCACCTCGGGACGACGATAAATTGGTTTCCGGGACATTTCTTGAGTGTGGTGACACTCTGGGTACCAAAGTTTTGTCACATGTTCAGTTACCTTATTCACTGTCCACAGGATTGTTCATTGATTTTCTGCGTAAGGCAAGAAAAAGTTGTTTTTGCTTGAGTAATCTAACAGTCGTACGAGATATGAGTGACTGGTGAATAACTGTCCGACCTTCTATGGTTTCACCAAGCAAGACAATGTCTTCAGGTATTCGGGGCCCACAGTTCAAATAGTTGTGTTTGAGGCGAATTCCGCGATGTCAATCCAACTGCCCTCCATTCCACAAACCAACCGAAAGAACCGATTCAGCCTTTTATCATCGCGTGCTGTGACTGAGATAACTTACTGGGTCTTGGTGGCTAGGTCTTTTGAACGGAGATCACTGGTCTTACGCAGTGGATTAATCATGGTTCCCCTGGCCCGTTGCCAACTGCTTCTTTGTGCTTTTACAGCTGGGGCCTTTGTCACTCCATTAAAATGTTTTTTTCACTCCTGGGTGTCGGTTGCACTTTTAGGTCTTCTAATTGTCCATCCCTATAACACTAATGGCCGACTTTCGTCGTTTATCCGAACTAATGCAACTACAGTTTTCGTATAATTCTCAAAAAAGGGAACGGCCTACTCATTGTTCTTTCCTTTTGAAGTACGCCTACTTACTGGACACTGCTCATAGGCCATTTGTGGGTAAAAAGATGTTTTCTGTCACCAAAAGGCACACTGGTTCATTAGGATCACTCTTTAAGGAAAACTCATGAGACACAAATCTATGAAAGAATTTCTTTCGCATCGCTTTTAGTAAGTCTTTTGTAAAGAACTTTCCGCACACTGGAACGTATAACCAAAAATCATCATATGCTGGTCGGGCTCCCTACTAAATGACCTTGAGCTGCCAAGCAAGTCTGAAATGTCAAATACTTCGCCCGATAATAGTTTTATTGAACTGATGAGACCGAAATTTCACAGCTTGTTTCGATTGCATTCAGCAGCGAGGCTCATCCAGTAGCTGAACCTGTTTACCAGATGGCGGCAGAGAGGCACGTTCAGACTGACATTTATTCAGCGTTGAGCAGATAACACTCTGTTGTTCCTGGTAGTCACCGTTAACTTTTACATTGTTGAGGTTCCGGATACGGAACTTTGAGTGACGCGTAGGTTCGACAATTCCGAATATCAACAGGAAGAATTGGGTTCGTAATTCTACGATACGATTTACGCAAGGGTAAACAAATGCGTACAACAAACCTCAATTGTTCACGTTCGTAGCGTCAACACATTCACAGGTCTGTCGCTGACCGGCACAGTGTAGTGTCAACGTTCGCACACCAAACAACGGCGAGCGGAATGATGCCTCAGCAGCGTGGGTTGCGGTCGTTCCTTCCGACGAAGGTCTCGTGACCACGCGGAACCCATGCGAAAACAAGTCAAGGCAGGCTCACCAAACGGGACTAAGACGCGCATGGGTAAGTAGGTCAGCAGCCCACATTCACACACAGACACACAGGTCAATACACTAATGTCGGAAAGGACAGCCTCTGTGGCAAGGTGAATGGCGGGTACGAATAAGCAAAGTAACTGGAGATCAAAAGTACATAAGCGGAGTAAGCAAATGAATGGGGGAATTATCATAAGCTCAAGTTAGATTCAACATACATTAAGTCAGTTGGGGACCGGGATAAACTGCACGGTTGCAGCCTAAGCTGGCTCCATATTTTCTAAACATTTTAACTAACTCCATGCAACTTGGTGAAGCGGACCCTACCAGATTGTAAACTGAGATTCGGTACCCTCATTTCAACAGGTGCACACTTTAGCAACAGTTGCCGCGCGGAAACCTATTAGGTGTCATTTGGTGGAATTTCATGGAAACTTCAAAAATTTCAATGCTGAATTGACACGATTCGCATTTTACTAACGCCGCAATGATTACTGTTAAACTTTATGTTCTCGATCGACTCGTCTTGAAGAATTTATTCAACGTGAAACACCTGGGACGATGTCCGATAGTTACACAGATAACCTGGTAATAAAGTAACCGACACTGAACACAATGCGGATTTCTTGAGACCTATTCATTGCTATTTACAATACATCCCAAGCAGGAAACGTTCCTCCTACAGAAAACCGTTCCGGTGGGTCCCATCTGCAGTTAAAGTCACTGATGCTTACCTTTGACTTGGGGTGGTCGTATAAGTTAAGGTTACCATATTATATCGTACTATTAAGGGTGTTCCATTGTTTGGTTGGCCTATGTTTCAATCTTAAAGGCTCAATCATATGAGGATAGCCGATAAATGCTCACAAAACACCGGTTTCTGCTTACCACTCCTCTATACTAGACTTATATGCAGGTACGACGAATGGGTGTGATTCTCACCAGTCAGGGCGTTGGTTCATTGAGGCAACCAATCAACATTTCTGCTGGTTTTATCCACTTGAAATCAACCAACGAGGGGGCTGGAGATATTTATTGCTCTCCAGACTCCAATGAACGAACAGGAATATTTTACGTGAGTGATAACAGCGGTTCCAATGTCTCAGCCTGTAACTCAGCAACCTGAGGTGAGTCAGGTCTTTCTTTTATCCACTGGCCGGTGGATAGTGACCACCAATTAGTTCTGATATTTTAGGATGACTCTCAACCAGCAAACGTCTTGAAGATAGAAGAATAAAAAATAACGACTATGTATGAGCGTAGGCATTATATTGATCAGTGTAAAACAGACTAAAAGCCAACTCATCCATATTGCGCGGATGGCAATAACAAACAGGATGTTCCAATAAAAACACCCGCATGTTCGCTGAAGTCAGTTTCCTCGTGCAACCTCCGCTCTTCCACACTGTGGACGTGTTTCACTGAACAGATCAAACGTTTCTGCTAAAGGCAGTAGGTAATGCTCGTAATACCCAAATCATCTGTGACCAGAGAACAGACTGCCCATGCTTTTTTGAAACGGAGAAATTCCAGCAATCTCACACACACATTGCATGGGTTGCTTTTTTCTTGGTATTTCACTGTCAGCTTTTACCTACCTGTTTGTACCTTATTCAGGTGAGATAATCATTCGTAGCAGTAAACTAGAATGAGTCATAATCAAATTAGCACACTCACTTGTGTTAGTCCGACAGTAGATAAGGACCATGAAACAAATCGATTGGACACCTTCATTATTCCTCGTTTTCGTTATCAGAAGGTTCATATGGTTTGGCAATGCTGGAGAAAAAATTATACGTTTTGCATAATCTGTGAGTTCAAACTGACACTTGAGTACTCTTCTAAGCACTTGCGATGTGAATTGTTTACTGAATCAAAGCCGTTTTTTAAAGTGCAGTAAAACATAACACAGTTTGGGCACCTGGTTGCCATCTTCCTCGAAGTTGCATTCTACGGAGGACTTGTACCCTTAGAATTGTATGTAATTTTGGGGGGCGTCCTTCTTTTTGAAAGCGGGTCGCTCTCTTGGGGCACATTTTTGAAGGATACACTGGCAGTAATACAAACGCAGTTCCGAACACAACATTCAACGATTATCAAAAAGTAGTCTTCAGTAAGATGTCCCATTATATATAGAACAGAGTTTTTTGCACTATCATATGGTCCTCCGCATATCTGTCTACTGGTCGTTGCATTTGCGGAACATGAAAGGTGTCAAAACATTGGGGCTTGGATAGGTAAAGTGGCCGTTGATTAAGAGGCATTTGACCCGTTCACCGAGTTTGGCAACGGGCTTGCTAACGTTTCGTGATCATACGAGAATGCACCATCGTTGCGCACTGACGACATCTCTCCGCATGGTGACGAAACGTTTGCAGGCCAATAACGAAGCTCGACGAGCAGATCAACTGTCATCTGACCAAAAGCCGAGGTGACGAGTAGCTAGTCGGAGGAATACAGCTACGTAAAGTTGGAAAACAGGAACTTTGGGTTTTACTCCCAAAGTCTTATAATGTAGCCTAGCTACTCGTCTCCACGTAATGTACAAGTATAAAAGCCAAGTGATGGATTTGTCGAAAGTGCTGTTTGCCCGCAAAAGCTATGCTGCAATAAGTTATCGAACTGAAATGTCGTAAACATCCTCAGAAGAGCTAGCCTCATAATTCGCGCGACAACTTGAAGCAGACGGCGTCGAAATTCCAAAGGCCCTGCATGAAAACCACCTAGGTTTGCAGGCCTACGCGGTTAAGGTAGCCAGTTAGAAAGCACTCGAAAAGCGGGATAAGCCTCGGTAATCTGCTAGCTACTGCGCTGCACGACAATTTTCTGACGCGTTGCCTAGAAGTGACTGGTCATGTCCTTAGAACGAACTTCTCAAAAACGTCCCTGACTACGGCCACTTCAGCGCAACTCCATAATGTTCGCCTTGAAAGCGATGCCGTTTGGTAGCAGGATTTCTGAATTTATGCGAAAACCACTTTAAACGTTCCCCATGTTGAGCTTTCTGCCAAAAGTGGACAAAGATGCTGAGCAAATTCGCTTACTTATTCTACCATCAGGAGAATAATTCACCTCACCGAATTCCGCATTCGATGTGGTTTCCTGCCTCAATACGTTATTTTGATATGCTCAAACGATTAGGCAAGCACGGAGTCTCATATTTCTAATCACGATATTTTTTCCCCATGAGACGGTCTTTAGTAGATCACAGGTTACAAGAAATTAGCACAGTCCGAACTCAGAGCACCATTGAAGACAGACCCCAATTGTATGTGGCAGTGATTTTTTCGAACGGTGATTCTACGGCCTCCAAAATATTCACCATTCGATCTGTGCTCATTCAAATGCAAGGTTAGATTACGAGCCGAGATAAAAAGATCCCTAGTACCGCACCCCAGTCCTCGATCTGTCGTATGTTTATCAATTAAAAAACTAAATAGGCTTACCAAGGACGTTTGTGAAGGCCAACCCACATTTTATCCATAAAGCCTTGATTATCATGAAGTGTGGACAAATATAGTTACTTGACCAACCTTCCCTTAAATTCTGTCGAGAAAACACGCTATCACGCTGCGTGATTCTATTCGGTATAGGATCGATTACGGAGGTAAGCCCATGGAGCCTCAAATGACAAACACCCAACTGTGACATACCTGTTTGTCGTTGCGCAAAAGGATTCTCTGTAAAAAAAAAAACAAATATCACACTGATCTAGCCACTTATTCACTCTCAAATGCTAGAAACAAAGCAGCTGGTCAATGAAAGTAAGTAAAAAATATTCGTTGTAGGTGTTTACGGGATTCGTAAAATTCATGTCCGCTCTCGTTCGAACAGTTGTCCTCCTGTCCTCGTGCAATCAGTCTGGTGAGCCCATTCCAAACTGGGGAAGCACTGGATTCCAGTTTCGTTTTTAAGGAATCATCAACAATGCATGTCCTGGGGTCATGCCCGGAGTTGGAATTTTCATAGCTGACATGCGAGGTCAGTGTTTTACGAATACTCCACCAACGCACGGTGCACGCATCTGGATTTTCTCATCTATACAGCCGAACATGTTCACATTTGAGTGATATGGTTGATTGGCTCGGCGGTTCGAAAGACGTCCCAATAACTGTCCAGGATGTGTCGATCGACTGGCTCGCCTGTCGAGAATACCCAGTTAGGTAGCATCCCGGATGCCGGCAAAAATGCATTATCTTTTCTAAAGAGCCTTCTGGTGCCGTAAATTCAATCCGTCCCTCACTGTCTTGGAGTTTTCAGTCTTCAGGCGACCCACCTCATTGTGTGATTTTGGATGGCTAACGGGTTTTTCTTCGTACACGTTGAACGGTACTTTCTTCCTTTATCTGCAGTGCTACCAAGAATTGGTTTGCAACCTTCTGTTCATTCAGAACAAAGTGCAGGCTGATATTGTTTCCCCGGAATGTTTCCGCTAACAAAGTTAGTGGAAACGATAACAATAAACACCTTACTTCACGTTGTCATGACAACACTACGCTACGTCCTTGGCGGCACTGAACCTAGAAAACAACTGCAATTTGAAGTGGAATTCCTAATGTAACTAACTTGGATGTTGGTCACGTTTGTCCGTAAGCCCTAACGATGCTGATCAAATCTGCAGGGAAGAACCCAAAGGTGGAGGAACACAATCACCAGATGAGAGTAGCAGAGTGGAGAAAACGGATTACCATTATCTGGGAATGCGTGGAATTTTCAGTCACGTTATCCTAGCTGGCCAATCGTGGATGCCCTCCTGGCATAATTCTGCGTCATCATCATTACAGAATTTAACCTATCAATTGTATTTCCAGGTTATTACTTTGTTCCGAGTAGCATACAAGTCAGTGAACTCTTAACATTGTTTCCGGTTGTCCTGGTGATAACAATGAGCTCCGCCAATGATGCCATAGCAAGACTAAAATAGCTTTATGGTGTCATCCGACATTTGGAAAACACTCACACGTTTTGGAACTGTAAATTCATGCTTCCTCAAATGTGCCGGTTGTGTACGTTTACTATGACCAAGTAAGACTGCAGAAATAATATGAGTTCGTGGAAGTCGATAAAAAATATGTGAACCATGATCGACAGGAGACATTACTGTTTTCGAAAAATTCATGGACAGCCCGCGAGTGGTTTCACTCTTCTTGGGGTCATCACGTGGGCGCACTTTGCGAGCTACTGTCGACCTTGTGTTCTTCGTGAACCCGAGTTGTTCGCGATTCGCGAAATGATCTCGGTTGCAACTCAATCCGGTTGCAACTCAATTCGGTTGTAGTGAGTGAATCAACCAAATCCCAGGGGAATCGGTTGTCGTCAACTGGATGTGCTGCACATAGGAAGCCTTAAATTCCGTTTAGTTTGGTCTTTGAGATGTCGCTACAACTTTTTTTGTATATATTTCAACCATCCGCGTAATTTGGCACGGCCGACTATGTCGCACTGTCTGCATCAAGTAGGGTTAATCCAGTAGTATCGCACTGTCTGCATCAAGTAGGGTTAATCACAACAGCATGAAGCTTTTGTTTCCACAATCTTATGCTGGCCAAACTGAAAGGGACGAAGGAGAGGCTGGAAACGGACATTCTGTTGTCTAAAATCATCATAACTGAGAGATTTAGCTGGGTTCCAAGTGAGTTTCCCGTCAAAACCAAATTGGGGAGCAAATGAGCGCATTTCGCTCATTTCATAAAATTTGGGTTCAAGTGAAACCTAGGGTTGACGGAATCTCGGTCTAGCGCCTACCTGATGAGCTGCAAGAACGAAAGCGGTCATAGGCTGTCGAAGAATTTTCAGACACCTTACTTCTATACACTGTATCGTGGTGTCTTGAATACCGTACCAACTGAAACATGAGACGGCCTGGTGCAAGACATTCAGCTGCTTGAGAACATCACAAATGATAGATTCAGCTGAGGTTCTAGGTGATTCTCCCGTTAAAACCGAATTGTTGTGCAAGTGAGTGTATTTCTCCAAGTAGTGTGTAGTTGTCCACTGAATCTATCATCAACTTGATTTGCTACACGCCTAACAATCCTTGCGTCTCAACAGATTGTGAAACGCTTCGAATGTCGATTCTTCAGCTAGTCAATAACATTCTCTGGGATGCATCCAGCTTTCACGAAGCACGTGTGTCGGTGATCGGTACAACAGTGTCTTCAGTGATGACTAGCACCCATTGGTAAACAAAACGTGTAAACAGAATGACCGTTCACAGAAATCGTTCAAAAGATGAACCGGGAAAATGTGAAGCTGAACGGCCGTCAATGAGGGGCTTGACATTATAGCGCTATAACGGTTTGTGCATCTCCGTAACCCACTGTGGAGTGTACGTATGACACACCGCTCATCCCTAGATTGGGTTTCATGTGTGCAGCCGTGAGACAGGATTCGACATCTCGCCGTTGTCTTTCAAGAAATGAACCCTTTCTCTGTGCTAAGTCTCACTTTCTAACTCCGAATCGTAAAACCGATGGTCATGCCTCTTCTGTACTCTGGGATTTTCTGGAACTCAATGAATCCATACCTTATCCCATTCGAATATTTCAAGTAACCGGCGGATGTTACGAACGCACCGCGAGTGGTGATGTGAGCTCGATCCACAGGCTTAGGAAACAAACGATTAGCTACAACAGACATGCTCGTACGTGTTCTGTGGCATAACTTTCCTTGCGCGGGACTATATCTAACCACTGCAGCCGTTATGTTACGTTTCTCCAACGGCATCAGTTAATGCCCCTTTGTAGAATCCTGCGAGACCCACAAAGTATGCTTCGCTGTTGCACTGTTGACTCTGCTTTGAAGTTCGAAAAGCCGTAATATCGTTTGATGGTGAAATACTCGGGTAGACATGTCCAAGTGAAGTCCCAGGACGCTTCAGTGATTGACTGCGGACCGTTATCCGAAGAAAATCATTCAGGTACCCCGCATAAGACTGACAACTGCCCTGTGCTGCCTGAGTGCTGTTCAATCTCAAAATGATCAAAATTATCATCCCACAACTGAAATCAAAAGTTGTCCAGTGGAGTTCAAGCGTCTGTGACGCTCCCTGACTGAGAAGTCCTGATTGGTAGGTTGAGCGATGGTCACAACCAGAGCAGTAACTCGGTCGTCGGGCACCCCAATCAGACCGCTCAAACCTGAACAGAGGTGAAAAATTCAGACGCGTTCAACGTTCGTTGGTGGAGTAGGGGTAACACGCTCGCCTTGCATGTCAAATGTCCGCAGTTCTAATCCCAGCACGGCCTTTGGATATGCACTGTTGATGGGCTCTTATAGGAGCGAAACTCGAGTGAAGTGTTTCCCATGGTGTGGACTCGACGGAATAATTACACCAGAACAGGAGGACGACCGCTCAAACGATAATGATGTTAGTATGAACTGTGGTCGTCAGTCATCACTGTGTTTTGTTTACAACTGTGAGCTATGTGCCTTCAGTCGCACAGTTTGGTCGGTAGCAAGCTGGCAGTTGTCCTTGACGAATGTTCGCATGTATTCGGTTAGGTCTTGGTTTTGCTGGGCTCACTATGCGCAATCACACAACGACTTCTCGTTCATAATCCTCTCGAATCTCAGTCAGTTATAATCAATCGATCATTCGAAACCCCCAAACTGGTGGTCTATTTCTTCTTTATCCTGGGTGTATCCGTCGTTCAGCTGTAACACCCTATTCGGTGCCTAGTTGCCATTCCACCCGAAGGTTGCACGAGGGCTGGGATACTACCAGGTTGCCCAGGCCTAGGAAGGGAAGTCGAGAGGCAGAGGTCAGGTTCGAACCACGGACCTTCCGGTCAATAAATTCGCGCTCTAACCACTTGAACCATCTAGCTCTCTTCTTCCGTAGTTTGTAGGATAACTCATATTTCCAAAGTGTGATCGGCATGGCTCCAAGACTTTCGGGTCATCACCTAGCGGTCAGCAGCGTTTTTCGATCTGTCAGCACAACCACCAAAGCTGTAGTTGCTGAATCATCTGTCAGCCTTGAGCTCCTACTGTCCATTGGGCGTCCTCACCGCAGAAGTACTGCACCCGGGCCTGATTGACCGTTAACAGTTTAAAGATTTGCTCCGAAATGTGATCGTGCTCTTCAGCGGTCGGATCTCAGGGGACCACATCCTCGTTTGTGAATCTTGTACCTTGTCTTAGCAAAACCTCAATGGAAATCTTGAGGCGGAATCGCACGTAAACGAAGCCAGGGAAACTGATCAATCACTGTGCCAAACGACGTTGGGTAGCTAAACCTGAGGTGCAACTTAAGTTTCCCAAATACCGTAGACAAATAGATCTTTGTAATCACTCTCGTCTGCTGAGTTCCACCAGATAAACATTCAGCCCAAGATTACGGTACCTTCCCCTCCGAAATGTAATATTCAGCGGTACTTTCCTCTCCGAAATGGAACATTCATAGCTTTGGAGCCAATAAATACTCTAATTTGTCCAGGATTTCTCAAAATTACTGCGGCTTATTTGACTCACTGTGCAGGCTTATTTGTTACCAAAATAACCCATGAATGAGTCAAACTGCCGGTCTAGCTCTGCTTATGACACCTCAGTTAGTGCCACCGGTACCCTTGTAACATCTTCGCAACAGGAACGGAAGTAACGATTCAATATTATCATCATCGTCATCACCACCACTATCATTATCATCATCATCATCATCATCATCATCATCATCATCATCATCAGAGACAGTAGCATCAATGTCGGGAATGAAGCTTCAGTGTTGTACAACCGCAAAGTCACTGTGGCGGTCGTCCAAGCTGACTGATGCATGCACGTCCAGCGTCTCCCTCGCGCATTGCCTTTGTTCCACATGTCAAAGCTTGTATCACGAAACAACACCGTGACGTCTCTCCTCCATCTCTTGCACTACCTCCCGCCAAGCGCAGCGGGGAGATTCAAGTTGACTACATCCTTGAAGGCAGGCAGTACTAACAACACTCAAACTCTGGGCAGTCTCTCTCACGACATTCTGCCAAGTCCTACGTTACCCACCTCGCGGTTCTGAAAGGGGCACATTTGTTTCTGTAGATGTTGTTTCCGTGATGTGCGTAACATATGACCGAGCCACCACAGTTGATGGTGCCCGGTGTTTTCCGCGATCGAAACACCTGACGCATTTCCAAATACCTGTTTTGTATTCAACTCTTTGAGAATATGCTTACTCCATCCGATACCGGCAACAGCTCTGAGACTTCGGTGACCAAATTATGAATGCACCTCATTTCAGCTGTCACCTGAGGCTGTATCTCACCACCATACAACAAAACAGCCCTTAATGTAGTCTGGTATAGGCAACACCTGAGACCCAATGATTCGCCGTCTTGACGCCACAAGTGACGCAAATCAGCAGACGTGATTCAGGTCTTTGGGGTTCGTGCAATGAATTCATCAGACACTTCCATCGGAACCAATACAACTATCGAGGTGTGTAAAATTCCCCACGCTACGCAGTAACTCATCTCGAAATGCATGGGAATATTCCCAGAGAGTGCAACTTCTAAAGCTTGGTTTCGCACTTTCAAGTTGCAAGTTGAATGCTGACGGATGGTATCATGGTGGTAGACCTTCCTGTTCAGATTTGAGGATGATTTCATCTGTGTACTCCTGATCGACAGCGTTCTTGGAAGTAATGATTTGGAAACAGATGTCTGCATCATCAATCCATTCACAACGAAATTAACCAAGAAAGGAGAGAGTAAACATTGTTCTTAGGTACCAGTTTTTGTAGGAAAGCGTCTAGGGAGTTTACCATACAGTCACGCTTAGAAGCATGTAAATGTTGTGCCCGGATTGTGCACACAAACTTCCGCGGGGCACCATGTTGGCCAAGTGACGTTAAGAGGAGTGACCGGTCGACAGAATCGAACGCACCCTTGAAGTCAAGGAACGCCCAAATTATGGGTCTTCTATACATATGGTATTGCTGTGACCGCTGACGAGTGTGAAGATGTAGTCAACACAGTTTCTAACCGGTCAAAATCGCGCTTAATGTTCATGGGTCAAGGATTCGCACGCCACCGTGAGTCCACAAAGAATTAGCGACTCCAGAAGCCTTGACGCGATGGGAGTCAAACTGAAACATAGGTACTTACCACCTTCACTGCGAGTAACCTTTTCAAAAATGGGCACTATTACAGACTCATACCAGTTGTTCGCGATGGCCTCTTCCTTCAAGATATTTGCGACATTTCCCGCCTTTGACAGATTTAAGCAGGCACAACAAACCAGGAACGATGGACCTCTGCCTCAAGAGCTTTTTACAGATGGTGCGAAACAAACCGTGCAGAGGCGAATATCAACGGGTATCCAATCAAGTAGAGACTCTTTGGCTTGGTTTCTTAATGCAGTACTCACCCCGGTATATCCAGTCGCAGCGGTCTCTGCATTATTAGGGCTGAACCAGAACCTGGAAGAGAGCGGCGGGGGTATCAGTTCGGTTACAGCATTTGCTTTCTGCATCCGTGTTTCTGGCAGGCAGTATACATCAGTACAGAAGGAATCCAGCGTGCAAGTAAGAGCCGCTTTTTGTCGCCATTACTGAGATGTGTGAACTTCAAAGACGGCTAAGTAGACCGGCTTCTGGTGTTTCAAAGCAGACTTCGAAGTGTTCAGAGCTGTTACTTAGATCTGAAATACTACTCAAATTAGGATGGGGTAGGGTAGAAAATGGAATATGTGAAAACCTAAGAAGGGTGGTGTCAGCAGTAGCATGTTTTTGCTTACTCTCCTTGCTGGCCGTAGTGCACTTTGAATGTACCAATCCTATAAGATGTGACGAAGCAGAGGATGTTGCGAACCTATGTTGATCTTCATAGCGTAACCTTTTGACAGGGCATGAGATCAGGCCAAAGTTTGCCTGTGTCATCGATCATCTTCACTTAAAACCTTGTTTGATTGGAGGACAAGGGACCTACACCCCGCTCAAAGGCTTTTGAAACGCAATACATCGTGGTCAGTTGTCGGTTCCGGATCCTACCAAGAAGACTACGAGCACATATCTACTCAAACAACACCAAATAACTACACATCAAGTCCAGACTTTTCAGCAAAAAATAGTTTGATTTGAAATCTGAAATTATGTTCCAAAGAAAATATAGTATGAATAAATCATAGAAACAGCATGCTCATCCAACGGTCACTGTGTTACTGTGGTAGGGCACCCTTCACCAAATACATTGTTGCGATTTCGCGCAGCAACCAAACAACTATAATTATGAGCATCGAAGTGCTTTCCGTAAGTTGGAAAGTAAAATCCAATAAATTTCCTTATGGATTGTGATTCCTTTCTGACAGATAGACAAAGTCAAGGACTTTGTGATTACTAATCATGTCCTTATATCGTACATTGTTTCAGCCTGTGCAACAGCGCGAATGGACCACGAATATGTTTGGATGCTGTGAAGACGTACCCAGATGTATGTGTACCATTTTGTAACTTCCGATTTTCTGATGATTAGTCTGAGGGTTGGTTAGGAGATGATATTCTTATAATGCATGAATGAGCTGTAGTCCAGGTGCATCAAATTATCCTACACTGTCCATCAACCTGAGTCAAACAGTATGCGTTTTTTCTTCGAAGTTCTCATCGTGCTGTGTTTCTCAAATGCCTCCGTGACCTTTTTATAACGTGTCGTTCTATTCTTCCAGGCTTCCTGGTTGCATGTTGTGCACCATGCTACCTGTGTCACATGTATAAGTACGATCATGAGGCATGCTTCCTACCTATATTTGGTGCGGGTCCGATCCTCCTTCGTGTCAAGCATCGATTCAAACACAATATCCGGGTAAGTCAATCGACGTTTTTAAGTATATTGCGCGAGGCTGCTTCCAAAAGCACCGAATTCGTGCATACGCAATTCAACGTAAGAACGCCAGATTCAAGAACGGGAGGGCCGAAAGTGCTGCGGTCTTACACGACTTATAGATAGGTTTTTGTCATGTAAAACAAACCTCTGGGATTAGGTTTGCACGTTTGATTTCACATCTTGGTACACGGTGTAACAGAAGCGAAGTGAATGGAATAAAATTCCAAGACACGACCGTACAATCACAACGGTTGACCTAAATTATACCAATACGTTTCAGCAGTATTCGCGTGTCGGTTGGAGATCATTAATATTCAGCAGGCTGCTGTCCTAAAGGGAACAGAACAAGAAAGGTCAAAACATGGCGAACATATTGTGGGGCTAAAAAGTGGCCGTTTAACTACTGTGTGAATCTGCTACAATAGCGGTCATGAATGTGAGTCCACATCAGTTGAATGCATGTGGAACGTATGGGAATGCACGTGTAATCTAAACATAACCTAACGGAAAGGGTAATTCACGTGGATAGCGATGCTGCTGTGCTTACCCAAATTGTGGTCATTACTGTTGTAGTCCTGCTGGCGTTCAGTTTAATACGGAAATAGTAACAAGATCAAGCCAGTCTACAGCAAGAAAGCCAGTCTACAGCAAGAAGGCCAGAACAAAGGGCACGCTGTTATGTTCATGTCCCTGGGACGTAGAATGTCAGGGAATTTATTGCAAGGGACATAACTGCTTGGATGAATTATTCATCGGGTGCACATAGTTCAAGGTTCCGGTTAGAGAGAGATCAGATCAGTTATCATCTGTCGAATGGCTGCTTGTGCTGCACGAGGTCAGATGACTTGATGTCGTTTGATTCACAGTATGTGTTCTGAGTAGGCTTCTCTGAGCTATCGAGAGTGCTACGTGCGACCCCAGTTTGTCACATCACTTGATTCCCATAGCACAACCAAAGCCTTCACAGATAGCCACTGATTTTGAGTAAATCAGCCATGTTTTTCTAAGCAGAAATAATGCATAACAAGTCGATTTCAGTAGAACATCTGCGGAGTTTTAACCTTTCATCATGTTTGTCGGACAAAATGTTGAACTGATTGACAGATTAGAGACAAATAGTTCCCATAATACAACCCTGTCAACTTTTGTTGAAGTCTACCCAACATCCAGTACGTACCAGAAGGCAATGAGGGGCATCGTTCACGTTTTATATCTCAATAGTTTGCAAGATTACGAGCAGATATTCATGCGGATAATGAGCTGTTTGACATAATAAAACTACAAAAAGACGAATTTTGCAATTCTCTGTTTGAATTGTGGGAAGATGGGTAGTTTGAGGGACTTTTGCAGGGGGAGGCTGAAGTCGAATGCAAGGAACATGCCAAAGAACATAAGTTATCTGATCACAAGAAAGACAATTTTATTCGTCCTTCGCCGGAATTAGATATCCCACACACATTCACAAGCATTTAAGATCTTAAAAACTTGAGATTTTGTGGTTGTGGTTATATCCCAATAAAGTAGCCAGGCATTCAATGGCTACGCATGAAGTCAGAGACAGGCTTCGCTGAGAACGGACTGGGTCAGTACATGTACGACGAATTCACTCCATATGTCACAACCTGAATCTAGTCGCGAAAGTTCATTAAAACCGTTCCATGTCACCCACACATTATCCTTCCTTCTGCGAGACACCCAAAGAAGAGAGGAAAAGACTCCTCAGGAAGAACAATTCCTTACAAACGACCGTCTTTTTTAAAGTGAGAGCGGGCTTAAAATCGGCTTTTTCTAGCTTTATTTGCTGCGCCAAACTTGTAAAGATCAGGATGCATGGTGTTCTTTGAAGCGATTTTTGTTTGTCTGCTACTTCCGAAATCCCAAGTATGAACGCAAACACTTTGACTTCGTTTTTCCAGTACCAATGAATATGTCTAGAAAACATTTTGAAACGAGAGAATTCTTGACCTTGTGCAAAGGTGAAGCTCTTACATATAGCAACAACGTCCTGCTGCAATGGAGGCACATTCAGTTGCCTGAAAACA